TTATTGGAGATTCCAGCTTGAACTCCAAAGTACCCTCTTTAAGCCGTGCTAGCTCCTTTTCGGTAGCTACCAGTTGACACCTCAAATTAGCTACCTTAGCCCGCAAAGCATGTAGATGATCCACACAAGGAACGATCTCTTAGACCTGATCATTGGTAGTAATCACTTGGGCCTTGCATCCTTAATGGACTAGTTATTTATTAAATAGTCAGAAAGGAACGAGAGCTTTTACAATAACAGTTGATGATGCCGTAGCATTCTGGTAATTAGGTGCGAAGGAATGCCAACTCAGGCATAGGAACAGCCTTCTCCATAACGTAGATGGCCTAAATCATCTCCTCGTATTTCTAGTCAAGGATCAAGAACGGATCCTGGCTGAGTTAAAACTGAACAACCCTTCAGGCATCAAACACCATATCCATTTTAGGAACGCGGATGTGGGCTAGAAGGATGTTAGTAGGGGCCGCCCTTATTAAAGCAAGCTAAAAAGAGAAAAAGCAAGTTAGCACTAATAATAGAAGGAAAATGGATAGGAGGAAAAAGCATAACATATTAATACCTAACTCAGGTCCACAAGTACTTTGTCTCTACCAATGGAATAGAAGGTAGGGTGTACTGTGCAGTTGATCTTAAGGCTTTCTCTACACGATCCACAGGTGTGATAGGCTCAAGTTGACCCCACACTAAGGCACTCCTGAGTAGAGGCCAAAGCGACTATCGTATTCTCCAAAATTGGAGTACCAACGGTTGTGGGATTAGTGATAATTGTTACTTGAGATCCTTCTAAAGGCCTCTTAGATCCCCTAATCTCTTTAATTATGGGCCTCAATGAAGGGGTCGTTTGGGTCTCCGAAGTAGCAGGAGCATCGATGTTCCTCTTTAAAAAATTCATTAACACATATGATTATGTCTAATCATGCCCTATAAAGATTCAAAATAGGTTAGACTATGTCAAAAAGAAAAAAAAAGAAAATATAGAAAATAATACTTACTGGTATGACTCTTTATTATACGCCTAAAGCAATGGGGCCACCATTTATTGAAACGAAGGCAAGCATCACAGTCTACTAGTTTCACCTTACACTACTTTTAAGTAGTGTGTGGAATGACTATCTGATTAATGGCCTCCTAGTCCAGTAATTTTACACTGACTTGGAGGGATAGCCCTTGAGGAGTGCACTGGCTCAACCCAAACTGGCTCACCACCAACTAGGGATGATATAACTCTAAATAGACCTTCAAGCTTTAGAGAAGGAGCTAGTGTATAGCAGCCACATTTTTCTAGGAGTGGTGGCTGAGAGAAAAACCTCATCTCTTAGTAGTGAGGCTGGCTTGTTCTTCCAGTCTACCAAATATTTATACTAGGTAGGAAGGTGGTGGTCTGAGATATTAAAGGGCTTAAGAGTCCTTCATAAGGACCAGCTCTGTTGATAAAAAAACTTAAAAAAGTTCTTCGATTCTACTAGAGGATGACTACCTAATAAGCAAGTGAAGGGTAGTGGCATGGGAATCCTCGGGGAAAGGTTTCCAGTGAAGCAAATAGAAGTAATAGTCATCCATAGCTTCAGGAACCAGATGAACTCGTAGAAGTTGCTGAAGGGCTTCTTCATCAGGGACTCCTTATGCCATCATATAGATGACATAAAAACATGGTCTTTAAGGTTATTTGGTTGCCACAAAGAAGGGATTGAGCGATCCGCAGATAGAGTTGTATAGGCTTTCCTCCCCTTGAGGTTAGGATCTATTGGCTCAGGAAGATCCAAATAAAAATAGGTGTTCCATAGGAATGACGAGCTCATCAGTTGGTTTTTTAGGGAACAGCTCCATGATCTTCATATAGGAGCTAGCGCTTCTAATCTTGTTCTCCAAGTCAGCAAAAAGGGTGACGTAAGAGTCATGCTTCTCGAGGATAGCATAAAAATTCTCCTCCTTAATGATCAATAGCCCTAGGTATATGAAGACGTCCCACAATATCATTGACATGGGACTTAGCTTGAAAATAAAGGCATTGCAACCTGACGCCTAGAAACTTAAGAGGGCTATTAGTAGGTTGAATGGAATGTCGACATTGGTTAAAGAAATTTAAATAGCGTCGTAAAGACCCATCTCTGTCCAATGTTGCTCATGGGTTTGCTTCAAACATTTCACCCAGTTGGTCCAGCGCAAGGAGATCAGGGCCAGTTTTAAAGCTTTTGGCAAGACGATTTTTGACACATTCTTCCCATACATGTGTATAATATATATATATATATATATATATATATATATAAAACATACCTCTTTAACTACTTATGCCATAATATCAACTAGTAGCCTATGTAAACATTAGTCTCATCATCAAGTGTCACACTCAATTCTTATACTTTCCTCATAGCTATTTGTGACTTTCATAAGTTCTTATGCAAAATTTAACCCCATAACAAATTTAACAAATACATCATAAATTAATTATGGGTTACCTCAACCTTTGTTTACAAACCAAGTTTCATGTGTCAATACTTAATTATGCCACTCCATACCTAAATGCACCAATGCAAAATCAATCTACATTCTAACATATTTATCTTTATCAACAACTATTTATTATCAATTGCTTCTAATCAAATTCTCAACCCCCTAAACTAACATTATGGTCATTAACCACAAGTAGACCCACTTCTATGTTCCATCAAATTAGTTAGACTCTCATTTGTCTAATAAGCATTATTATACTTCTATTTAGGTGTTAACTCACTTGTTTAGCTCTTCATCATTAAAACCTATCTCATTATAAACAACATAACTCAAACCTTTAAACCCTTCCATTAACTTTATATAACTTCCATTTGGCTAAATACAACATTTATAACTCCCAACAACTCAAAACCAACACTTTATAATGGGTTCCGACCCAAACCCTAGGATCTGAAAATCATCAACCCCATTACCAAACCTCACTTCAAAAATGTGTAGGAAGGAAGAAGGATTGAGGAGATAATTACTAAAGTGACTTAAAGCTCAAAATCTCCTCAAAACGATGCTCGAGTATTGCCCTAGTAGAGCCCTAAGCTTCCCCCTTCATTCTTATTTGTTTTCTCATTCTATTTTTGATATCTAGTTCACACAGCTTAAATTTTCTAAAACATGTACTCTGCCTTGCCGAATTTATCCATTAGCCAAGGCTAACAATACAACTTTACTAGCCCAATTTTAAAAATTCATAATGAATTCCAAACATCTCCAACAATTACAAATTAGAACTCTATAAAAGCTTGAGATGTATACTTTCTAATGCAAAAAGAATTACCCAAAATATTAGTATTTTCCCTTTTAAAATGTTTAATTACAAAGACAGATCATTTTTTTATCTTCTTACAAACTCTAATTGATTATAAAATCATTTCATAATGTATTTAAATACCCTTAAGCTCTCTTAAAATATGATTAAATTAATTAACACAAAGGATAAGAATTTGGGATGTTACGGAGACTACAACCTGGGAATAACATAAATGTGTAATTGGTTTCACTGATTGAAGACTTGAAGTTACTTTGGCATACAGATGTGGAAATCTATGATGGTTATAGGAAATAGAAGTTCAATTTGAGAGCCATGCTTCTGAATACAACCAATAACTATCCAGCATATAGTAAGTTGTCAAGTTAAAATATTAAAGAACATCCTATATGCCTTATTTGTATAGATACCAAGCATTTGGTAAAGTTACAGCATTGGATGAAGAATGTCTATTTAAGGCATCATAGATAGTTGCATAAGGAGCATCGATATCAAAAATGGTCAAAATTTCAATGGGAAAACAGAAAAAGGTAGGCCAGTGAAGATATTGATTGATGAGGAGCTATTTAAAAAGGTCAAGCATTTGGATACCAAATTTAGCAAACCGTTTGCAAAGTATATAGCAACAAGAAGGTAGAAAAAGATGTTAATTTTCTTTGAGTTGCCACGGTGAAAGACATTGAATGTGAGACATTTTTTTAATATGTTATTTATAATTAAAATTCTTGAAATTATAATATTTTAATCAGTTTGTAGTTATTTTTTAAAAAAAATTATTGGGATTTAACTGTCATTAATTAGTTTTCTGTTTGGTGACTAAACTATAATAATAATAATAACAATAATAACAATAACAATAATATTTAGGAAAAATAAAAATTTTAGTGCTTGTCTCAATTATTGATTTTATTTTTTAAATTTAATTTTTATTAATTTAATTTATTATATTTTCTTAAATTATCATGTGAGTCATTTAAGTTTTTAAAAGACAAATTGACTCTCAAAATAATATAATATATTGAGTATATTAAAAACTTGACATGTATATATAGTTGAATGAGAATAAATTAACCACTAAATTAGTTTAAGTTTTATCAATATAATTACTTACCCTATTTTTGCTCTCTTTTTTTAAAAAAAAAATTAGAGGCTATTTTTCTTAGTTAAATGTGCTATTTTTCTTAGTTAAATGATTATACTTCTCTTCATTAATTTCTTGACTAATATCAATATTCTGTGATCCAAGTCATCAAATTTTAACAGTATAATTTCTTTTCAAATAATAAAAAATAAATTGATAATTGAAATAAATTTAAAAATTAAATTAATAATAATTAAACTTAAGGAACATATTGATAATTGAGACAAATAAAAAAAATTAAAAGTTATACTATCTAAAAAGATTAAAAGTTATATTATCTCTTCTATTTGTTGATTTTGAATTATCGTAGTGAATAATTTTTTTACAAAAAACGTTTTTTGGCCAGATTTTATATATCACATAAAATATTGTGCATGGGTAAAAATAAAATGCTACTGTGGGGGGATGTCTATATAAATAATTTAATTTAATACTGGCAATTTTGGCAGCATCGTGGCCACATCATCGTGGGAACGCATAAATAACAAATAAAATTATACGAAAAATTAAAAAATTATTGGCTTCATTTCACTTTCATCCCCAGCATATCTTGTCTGCTTCAACCAGAAACAACTTGTTATCTGGCATTCTTGCTTTGCGGGATGCATTTGCACATTGTGGCAAAGTTTGAGACTTGAGAGCCTCCAGAAAACATGTCTGCCTGTGCTTCAATCTCCTCCACAACTTCCCACCTCAGAACCCTCCCCTCTTCTCTACCTTCCACCACCATCTCTTCTCCTCCTCTCGGATTTTCCCTCACTTCCCGGGAAAATCGAAGACACCTCATACCCACGACCACCTCTGTCCAAAAGCATGCTCTTTTTTCATCCAGGTCTGGCAGATTCGTGGTGAAATCCCAGGCCACTAGTGCTCCTGCTTCTTCTGAGTCTGTCACTGTGACACCCGTACCTTCCCAAATGAAGGCTTGGGTTTATGGAGAGTATGGGGGTGTGGATGTTTTGAAGTTCGATTCCAACGTTGGTGTGCCTGATTTTAAGGACGATGAGGTGCTCATTAAGGTTGTCGCTGCGGCTCTTAACCCTGTTGACGCTAAGAGGAGGCAGGGCAAGTTCAAGGCCACTGATTCTCCCCTTCCGGTAATGTTGTTCTATCAATTGCTTTTTTTCTGTTTACACGTATTTACAGCTACGCAGAAGATTTATGTGTAATTTTTAGTTGTTTGTTATATCAATATCAAACTCTTTCATAAAAATATGACTAGTGAGATTTTTACAGCTCACTGACTTGTTTCATGGGGTGAGGAATAAGCAAGCAATTGTGTCGTGGAGACTCTCAGAAAACTTGAGGCAATTCTTTAATAAGTTTTTTCCATTTTAAAAAAGGATGTGAATTTTGTGTTTTCTTTTCTTTGCAGTTGTGTTTACAAGCTGAATTTAACAGTAATGCAGTTATTATATGGAAGAAGATTAGAAGTGAGTTTACATGTAGTTAAATTTATGGGTGTAGTAAAAAACAATTATGGGACATGGTAGATGTGGATGTGCAATATAGTAGGAAGAAGGACAAAACTGAAGTAAAATCAAATAGTTTCTTCTGTAAATTTATGAAATTCAGACACTTCTTACAATTCTTTATTGTGCTATTGACTTTTTCAAAAGAGATTCTTTGGCATGCCAAGATTCTACTTTACAACTTGATAACAACCTTTTCAAAAGAGGATGGCTTGAGCTAATTTCTTGACTCTGCATTTTCCATTTTACAAGTGAAATCATTTGTTGCTTGTTTCAACTGTAGACTGTTCCAGGTTATGATGTTGCCGGTATAGTGGCAAAGGTTGGTAGTCAAGTGAAAGACTTCAAAGTGGGTGATGAAGTCTATGGGGACATAAATGAGAAGGCTCTTGAGGGACCTAAGCAGTTTGGAACTCTGGCAGAGTATACTGCTGTTGAAGCAAAATTGTTAGCACCAAAACCTAAGAATTTGGATTTTGCTCAGGCTGCTGGTCTTCCTCTTGCAATTGAGACAGCGTATGAGGGCTTGGAGAGGACCGGCTTTTCAGCTGGTAAATCTATTCTTGTTCTGAATGGTTCTGGTGGAGTTGGAAGCCTAGTGATTCAGGTATTTACTTTTGAGAACATCAGCAACATGTTAAAGAATCTGTAATCATCAAGATCTTATTTGCATAAAGTTTTCTGAAGTTAGGGAATCTGCCTCTGAGACAATGAACCAGTGACTAAATCTAGTTTATTTCATCTTTTCTTCTATTACTGATCAGGCTGATCTTATGGTTATTCATGGTTAATGACTCAAACCCTAAATGATCAGGCGTGTTTCTCAGCGAATGGTGGTGCTTGATGGCTTATTAGTCATGCTCAAATCTACATTTTTCTCCATTGCATTGACATTTTGTATAAAACTCAGCTTCTCTATATCTTGTTTCAAGCATCCCCCCTAATTTCGAACAGTTTTTCTCCCAGCCACGGCTGCTTCTTATCATTTTCTGTATCTATATATCTATGTATGACATAAACTGTAACAAGTTGCATTATTTGTAAGTCATAAACAATGCAACTCATTTTTTGAATTCCATGCGATGTACTAGACCCTCATTAGTTAGTAATGTATAAATCATGTTCTAAGTGGAGAAAAAAGTAAATTCTGGCAGACTAGATTACCATAGAAGTGCGCTACTGATATCAAATTTTCTATGAAATGGATGGATAAGTCGAAATTTTACTAGAAAATTCATATGCTTAGATTTCCCCCCACTATTAGGTAATTTGATATTATTTAATTTTCTCTGCTGACTTTCAGCTAGCTAAGCAAGTATTTGGCGCTTCAAGAGTGGCTGCCACGTCAAGCACTAGAAATCTGGAACTGCTAAAGAGCTTGGGTGCTGATTTGGCTATTGACTACACAAAAGAGAACTTTGAAGATTTGCCTGAAAAATTTGATGTGGTTTATGATGCCATTGGTAAGAATTTTTTCACAATGTTCCCATACTCTATACTTTGTTCCTTCTTCCATACGGCATTCTCAAACAACATGGACAACAATTCATGAGCAATACTTCAATTGTTGTAGAATTTATATCAATACCTATACCAGCTAGTAACTGTTCTCATTGTCAGACACACTTTTTAGTAGGATTTATCTTGATCCTGTCCTCCAAGCCTGCTTAATGATCTTTCTTTCTCTGTTGTGGTGATTTGAAGGGCAATGCGACCGAGCAGTGAAGGCTGTAAAAGAAGGAGGTAGTGTGGTGGCGCTGACTGGAGCCGTGACGCCACCTGGGTTCAGATTCGTGGTGACATCCAATGGAGAAGTTCTGAGGAAACTGAACCCTTACTTGGAGAGTGGAAAGGTAAAGGCAATTGTAGATCCCAAAGGTCCATTCTCATTTGCTCAGGTTGTTGATGCCTTCTCTTACCTTGAAACCAATAAAGCAACTGGAAAAGTTGTCATCCATCCAATCCCATGAGGGGAAGAAAAAGAAAAGAAAAGAAAATGAAAGAGATATGGGATAGGGCATTTTGATGTGTGATGTATCTTGTAATGTATGTTCACACTATGAGTAGGTAAAAGTTGAGATTAGAAAGAAAAATGTGCCTAAAAAACCTGTCCTTGTCTTCTTTCCCGGTTTCAATTTTCTGCGTTTACAAAATGGATGTAGAAGATGCATTACAAGGGGATGGAGAAATGAGCTTTATGTAAGGGAAAATTACAAATAGAATTCAAAGGAAGAACTTAATTACAAAATAAATCCCATGAATTTGAGAAGTTATAGTGAGGTCCCTTGGGGCTTGACTGTAAATAAGTTTGCATGCAAAATGTCCTAAACGCCATTCACCCACCCCTTTGACTAGACATCGATCCGTCACTGGCTAACAAAATTTTGATTTCCCTCTCGTTTTTGTTTTTACTCCCTCTGGGCTTTTGTCCATTGCATTCTTTCTTACTTCATGTGATAGTTTGGGCAAAGACACTGAATGAGATGGGCTTTTTAATCCATGGGCCTAAGGATATAACTTCACAAGGATGAGATGCTCCTATTTGACTACAGCTTTGTTGGCTTAAAATATTCAAACAACTTAACTGAGGTGCAAATATACAATTGACTTATTAGTTTCTGGGAAAATATTGACGTAATATGTGTTTTTTTTTTAAACAAAAGTAACATATCATATTCCTTCGCTAAGGCAAGCACTCATTAAACCTAAAATAACAAAACTAGGAACATGCAATTAGTGAAAGTCATATTTCGAAGAATGAACTTTAACATTAATGTTGGGAAAAAAAATCACTATTAGTCCTTATAATTTTAACCTCTTTTAATGTAGGCTGTAGTTTTTTTTTTTTTGTTGCTTCATGTCTTTTTAGTTTATTCCATTTGCAATGTTAGTCCCTTATTTTTTATTATGTCCAAAACAATGATGGGGTGATGCTAACAATGTTGAATATGCTGACATATAACTAATGCTGATAATTTATATTGAGTTGGAATTATAAGTTAGCAAATTAATTAAATGTCAGCATATTTAATGTTGTTAATTGTCATGTCATCATCTTTCTGACCATATTCAAACATAAATGGACTAACATTGCATAAAGAATAAAGTAAAGGGATTTAGAGCAACAAAAGATAATTATAGGGACCTATATCATAATCTTCCCTTAATGTTCTTCATTTTTGAGACTCGAATTGGAGACCACATAATCAAGAAGGATAAATGTTGAACCAGGCCATTTGAATAAAAGAAAAAGACGACAAGAATAAATATGCATACATCATAATTTAGAAGTGATTATTTAAAATATGGATGAAAATATATATATAACTTATTAATCAACATTATTGTGGCCGATATGTTGTTCGGGTGGTTTACAAGTTAAACTACAAGATCTGAAACACAGAACCAGATCCATTGCGTCATGAGTGACGTGCGCAGAGATGAAACAACGTCGCTTTTTCGGCATTTTGAGCGCCCAGAAACGGCGTCGTTTAGTATCCTTGCACGCGGCTCCCCATGCACGGAATCCTGATCCTCTGAGACATAAGTGCAGAAAAAAAACAGTAAGGCGAAGCCAAGCAGTGAAAATGAAGGTGTTGTTGGAGCCTGAGAGGAAGCTAGTCCGAGAGTCAGACAGAGAGAGAAGATGAAACGTTGAAGTTGAGATCCCAGAGCTCAAAAGTTCCCTTAATGAAATCGTAATGAGCACCTTTCACACTCAGTGTTCTCTTCAAAAGCCCTTCTCTCACAAATGGATACGTCAGCAAGTTTCCAAGCGATACATTCACTGCTTCCTGTAATTAATTAATCATCATCATCAATTTTCTGAAACGTATATGATAGGTAGGAATAATTTGGAACGATAGAAAATTGAGAAATAGCTGTGTCACTGAATAATACGTCCTCTCTCATAAAATATCAAAATACAATTATCAGCCTATATATAGACGTCTCTTCCTAACGCTCTTCCCAACGGCTAGATTAACTAACTAACTAACCAATTATGTCCTAATTACAAATTTATAACAGTATATATAACAGCTGATCAGTGTGATTATTGATCACTTGACGGACCTTCTCACAGTTGGTGCACTGGTCCGAGAAACTTAAGCCGCTTGTATCTGATTTGATTCTGGACCTTGCTGTATTACAGATTTGCACCCATTGCTCTATGAATTCACTGCAAAAACCTCACACCATCATTTAATATTACAAACAAACAGTGAAGAAGAAGCCATGTCGTGCGTGCGTGCGTGCGAGTAACGCTGTAAGTGCTCTGTATTAGACTTCAACTAATCCGGATCAAGATCAGATTATAAAGCAGTTATGTATGATGACTTGACAAGGATTGTTGAAAGAGATAAAAAGAATGAATAATAGGAGAGAATAAATATATGTGTGATCAGATACATACATACGTGCATGCATACATACATATATATATATATTATATATAACATAAGAATGACTTACGAAGAAGTGGTCCCATCGTCAGGGATAGACATGAGCCCTTTTATCCCCCCACAACAGCTATGTCCTATCACCACAATATTCTCCACCTACACATTATATAGTTTTCATCAGATTCTTTATAATTAATGTATGCATGCTTGGTTTATTAAAAAAATAAAACATGTTGTTTATGTGTGTGCGCGTGTGTACCTTCAAGTGTAAGACAGCGTATTCAATGGCTGCTCCAGCTCCTGCATACTTTATCTGCAATATAAATTAACCATGCAGGGGGCTTAATTAATTAGCTTCAATTTTACAACATCTATCAAAGAAGAAGAAGAAGAAGACCTTGTCATAAGGTGGGACCATGTTGGCGATGTTTCTGACGACAAAGGCTTCACCAGGTTGGAAATCCAGAACATGAGACGGGCATACTCTTGAGTCTGAGCATGCAAATACCATAAACTGCAATATATATTACTAATCGATTACTCTTTTGGTTTTATTTAATTACAAAATTAAAAGGGAATCAAAAGAACAATAATGAGTGTGCCTGAAACTATTGGGACCACTGGTAGTGGTTTTGGAAACAGACAGTGCATAGAATTGCTCACCTTTGGACTCTGCCCTTTTGCAAGTTCCTTGAATAAGTCTGGATTCTTCCTGCCAACAGTCACAGATCAATCCCATTCATTCCTCATCATCAAATTCACTACTAATATATTTCTTTTAACTTTCATTACAAACTAAGCCCGCTTTGCTCCTTTACTTAAGTTATTTTCTCCGATTTATAAAAAGCAAGGCACTTCTTCTTCTTCTTCTTTTTTAAATACAAACTAATAATGCATTAGTTAGTCAAAAGAGATCATTAGAAGCGTTGAAAGTTTCCCAAGAGTTACTACTTTGGTCTTATTTTTAGGGAAAAGAGAGAAAAAAAAAATTGATCATATTTATAAAACACTTATTAATTTTCAATGTTCCTTTTTATACTTTTACAGTTATTAAATACTTTAAATAAAAATATCAATAATGAAATTTAAAAAATATTTATAAAAAATAAAAGCAAAAACTTATTAAATTTTAAAATAAAATTAATGAAATTTAAGAGCTTTTTAATTCAGGTAAAGCATGTTGAAAATGATTTATAAATAGAATCAAAGGTATAGGAAGTATCGCCTTATTAGCATGAAAAATTGAGACATCTTTTTTTTTTTTGTCCATAACTACTTTATCATAAAAAGTGGATTATTTTTCTTATACTAAAATAAATTTAAAAAATATTAAGTATTTAATAGGAAAAAATGTCTTGCAATTTAAAATGAAGGAAAGGAAGTACAATATTGAGTACCCCGTGAAAATTGAGAAGTGATAATTGAATTATTGAAATTGTCTAAAAAAAAAAGAATTCCCTAATTTATTTTTATTTAATGCCTCGTTTTTAGAATATTTTTCATAGTTAATAGTTTACTCTGCTGATAGCAAATTATGAAAGTAAACTTATAAAGAAAGCAATTAATCGTCAGTAATTTATAAAAAGGTCCAATTCCTCATAAAAAGTGGCTTGCATAAGGCGTCCGCGTTCGGTGTGATGAGCACCAAATGCTCATCAAAGTCAGGACATTTTAACCCAAATTCCTAGTCATTCATTTAAATTAATTTTTAAATTGTTTTTAATATTATATTTATTAAAATAAAAAATATAAAAAAATTTATATTAAATCTGAACTATTTAAAGTATATTTAAATGATTAATTTGTTAAATTTATAAATTTTTTAATATTAAATTAGATCATCTAAATTATATTTGAACATTCCAGAGTTTATATAAATAATGAAATTATAAATTTATTAATATTTTTAAGGTAAATATAACTTTTGGTTCCTGTAATTTACTCATGTTTTGCTTTTGATCATTATATTTTTTTTCAATATTTTAGATCCCTACACTTTTATTTTTATTATTTTGGGTCCTTTCAAAGTCCTTTGCTCATAGAAGGATCAAAAATAATAAAATAATAAAAATATAAGGACCTAAAACATTAAAAAAAAAAGTATGAGAACCTAAAGCAAAACGCAAGTAAGTACAAGAATCAAATGTTATGTTTACCTATTTTTTTAATATTAAATTATATTGCTAGATTAAATATGTATTGGTCAAATTGATAATGAACATATTTATTAAATTAAAATTTGAAAATTTTTTATACTTTCATATTAATAAATATAATATTAAAAATATTTAAAAATTAATTTAAATAAATGGCAAGATTAATTTAAATTAAAATGAAGGGTCAGGATTGTTCCTGACTTTGATAAGCATGCGATAAGCACAGAATGTAAACCGCTTGCATAAGATAAAAACGTGACGGCTAAAGAAGAATCGTACTCGAACTTTTCTAGCTTGAAATTCTGGAAGCCGATTTTGATCCTAAGGTCCGCGTTAAACGGCTTGTCGCGGGCCGCCTCTAGCTCCGCCGTCAACTGCTTGATCTTTGTGGTGCCGATCACTGCCAAGTCAGCTTTCTCACTGAACCAAAAATTCATTCATAATAAACAAATCCAAATGCATCGGCCAGTAGTAAAGCAAAGAAACTAAAATCTAGGACCTCTCATTTTCCTTGTATCCTGGTTAGATCAAAACTTTTTAACAATTTTTATTTAATTTTTTATAAAAAATATACAAATAAAATAAAATCATTTTAATAGTTCAATTTTATTTATATATTTTCATGAAAAGTTATAATTAGACGGGGCCCACGATCCAAAGCGCTCGTGAGAGGCATAGTGGTAATAAAATAAATAAATAAATACAGTAAAATGATTTGTCACCTGAGAAGCTTGGTCAAGTTAGCAATGGCGTCCAAATATGACTCTTGTGGTGTTGCCATGTGATCTTCTTTCTGCAATATATATATATATATATATATTTCACCCAAAAATTAATTAATTACCAATCCAAACAGATTCAACGCGCTGAGATTAAAACGAATCTTGCATGCCAGTTTTCAGACAAATTAACAGATAAAAAAATTTCGCGATTATTACAAACAGAAACTTCACTTGGCGATATATATACGAATGTTAATTAAAGGAGAAGATATAGTTAAGGTGGGGAAGGAAAGAATTAGCAGATCATGAGATGGATTCAGGCCAAAAAACAAGCAGATAAGATATATAGATACGTTAATCATATATCATGAATCCAGTAACAGAAACCTCTTGAAGAAGAAGAAGAAGGAGAAGGAGAAGGAGAAGAGACCTTGTAATGTAGGAGAAAGAATAAGAGAAATGGCGAGTGAGGCGATGATTGAGAAAGGGAAGAGGATATATAGAGAGAGAGGGAGAGAGAAGCGAGGAGTTACGTGCTGTGAGGCAGAGAATTCGGGTCATAACTTTGAATAAATTACCATCACAATACTTACTCATAATTTAGGCCATTAAAACATTAATTTGTGTATAAATGTTAGTAAGAATTTGAAACATAGTTTTTTCCAACACAATATATGCTATTCATAAAAAATATCAGTTAAAACTTTAATTTTTTAAAAATATTTACATCTTTTTATTTATATTATTTTTAAAATTTTTATCAATACACTCATGGTTTTTATGTGAAGTATTTAAAGATAAGGAATAAAAATATATAAATATAAATATAAATATAAATGAAAAGAGAAACATACAATTTATTCAATCTTCTATATTTTAAATTAAGGAATTCTTTCAAAAAGTGATTTAAAAATTTTGTTGGAAAGTAATTCGTAAGTATTTTTATAAATACTATTTGAACTAGAAGCATACTTTGACTCTAGTAAACTCAAAATCCAACTCACCTAATTTTTTATTAATAACTATTTCACACTTTTTAACAAAAATGTTTAAGTAAAAAAATTTTTATTTGAGTATAACTTCAGTAAATATCTAAGTGTTTTAATAATAACAATTGAAATTATAATGTGTCACTTTATTAAAAAAAATAAGTGAATAATTGAAAAAAAGAACTATCTAATGCTTAATATTTTGAATCAAATCAACTTAAATATATCTAAAACACATGCAATAATGGTAATGCATGGGAACGAACGACCATTGTACCACTTTTTTTTTTTTTGGTACTATTGTATTTAATGCTTTTGGATTCTGCCTTTTCCTTTTTTTCAGTTTTATTTTTTAAAAACTTGTTTTATTTATTATTTGACTTTTTAAAGTTAATCACCCATTCACCCCTTAAATGCGTAATATGTATGAATATAAAAAAAAAAGGAAGGAAAAATTTTTTTATCTTATTTATAAGTCATGTTATTAAATTTTTATTGTAAATTTTTTTTATCTTATATCAAATGTTAGAGAGAGAAAATATATTATTTAAATTTATATATTTAATATAAATAAAACTGAAAATTTTGTCAAATTTTTAAATAATACTAATGAGTTTTAAGATTTTTTTAATTTTGATAAAACATATTAAAAGTAAATTATAAATAAGATTAGAGAAGTAAAAAGAAAATAGGAAATACCCATATTTAGAAAGAAAATGAAATAGATATATTCTCATCTTCTTTTTAGAAAATACTTTTATTAATATAGTATTTATCAAACATTGCATTCAGATTTTTATGAATTTCAACAAAATAGGTTGAAAATAATTTATAAATAACATAAAAAGAAGTATAAAACCCTTTCTACAACTTTAACAAGAATTTGAATCTGTTTCCAAATATGCCCCTAACAAATGATTAAACCGTAATAAAATATTATTGAAAACTGGGGAAAAAATTCAACCATGAACCAACTGTAACTGCTTTTGTTTTTGTGTTCGTAAATTTCAAAAGTGGGTAGCATCATAAAACAAGACAGTTAATATTTCATTTCATCCCTCTTAATTTATAAATATTTTTAAATAAAATCATACTTATTACTAAACTTATTAAATATACTTTATGATTTATTTTTTTAATCATACATATTACTAAAACTTATTAAATATACTTCATAATTTTATTTTTTAAAAAATAAAATTATAAATTTTTAAAAATACTTTTCATGTTATACTTCATCTATAAAAGAATAATAAACAAAGGGAATACAATATGAGAGTAATATTAAAAAAATATCATAAATAAAACATTATTTTTATTAAATTATTTTATATTTTAAGATACTGAATCTCTTTCAAAATATTTTATCATTTGGGTCAACAGTGGTATAAGGTACTTTGTAAAATTCAATAAATCATTTATAATTTTTTTTTTCAAAAATGCCAACATATTCAAGAAAAATAAAGTAGGGAGGACCGAAGACATGTGACGTGCCTTATACTACAAGTTCTGGTGGCCTCGGTTTCACAGACTGGTTTAACTGTGGGTAACTCGATAAACTGTGGGAACATGAGAAGTTGAGAGCTCCAATGCTTAATAATGGCACTCTGTGGCCTCCATTACTCTTAATTAACCATAATTAACTACTTTAATCAATCTTCCTCCAGATATGAAATGTGAATAATACTTCTCTCTCGGTTATCTATAAAACGGGAGAACCCTTTGTTACCAACAAGTTGTCAAATTTGCAAATTTAAATTTTAAATAAACTCATAATAGATATGTAAATTGAAATTTTAAACTTCTAAAAATTTGCCCTATCAATAACTATTTATTAAAAATATATAATTAAATAATTAAATTAAAATATAAAATATGATCATAATTTAATTTAAATATAATTTAAATTTTAAATCTAGATTATTGAAATTAAATTCATTCACGTTAATAGATAATTATACCCATCATAGAAATTTTAAAATAGAAAAACTTATTTTTGGCATTTCTTTTTTTATTAATATTAAGTTTTTCATTTTGAGTTTTATTTTCTTTGAATCGGGTCATATTGCTTCCATGAATTGAGTCATATATAGTATATACTTAACTCCCTTAACTCAACAAAAAATTGATGAATTTAATAAGTTTAACCAAGTCACTCACTAGTTTAACTGAATTTACATTAATCTGAGTTTTTGAGCGAATTGATATTTGTCAGGCATTTTTAGTTAGTTACATCTCCCAAATGAATTAGTTAATTATTTTTAAAATTACACATTCGTTTCATATTTACATTTATTTAATATAGTATCTCAATTAGAAAATCTTATTGTATAGTTATTAAAAAAAGAAAATCTTATTTTACATCCCCCTTAATTAAGGGTATTTTAAAAAAAAATCTAATTAATTGTACATTAAAAGATTCAAAATACTTTATTTTTTTTAACATCTCCCCTTAAAAATGCCTTATAATTTTAAATTAAGGGAGTAAGTCACTTTTAATTAATTAACGCATATCAAGAAAAATAGTCAAGGGCTACTTAAAGTACTAAAATTGTTATGAAATTAAACTATTCAAATTTTATAAATTCATATATATTTTAAATTTCAAGTAAAGAGTAAGGACCATAGTTTATTATTGAAATTTTAATAATTCAAGATTCTCAATTATAATTAATAATTTTATAAATTCCTTAATTGTCATTTTCTTAGAAAAAATACATGTAATGCTCCAATAACCTATGGGCTATAAGATGACGAACAAAAGATGCGCCAAAAAACAAAAATACTACACCTTATGTATAGAGTTAGAGAAAGTATAAGTAATATTATCAATTGTTATGAGTATTTAATATGATATTTACAACCGAAAAGTATCATTCATAATTATCTTTTTTTTTAACGTGAAAACCCTCATAATTATCTTTTCAACAGTTAACCTTTTTCTTTCCTCAATAATATAATATATTTTAATTTCTCAACCAACATACGGTATTTGTTTGGGATAAAATAAGGACATCTTTTTTAACAAACACAACCATTTCTTGCAGTTGGCTTCCCTCTACTAAAATAAGCCTCCTCTACACTATGAGAGAAGTGCATATTTAAATTATTTAGATTAAATTTAAATAGTCTAAATTTAAATTTTTTACTTTTTTATTTTACATTTATTGAAATAAAAAATTTATATAAATTGTAAAATATTTTAATAAATCTGTTCATTAGCTTGGACAGTTCAAATTTAATATGAATAATTCAAATTTAATACTAAAAATTTATACAAAAAATTTAATATTAAATATATACTATTCAAAGTATATTTAAAACGGCAAGTTGCCTCAATGACAATGCCATCTTCTTGGAGTGTGAAGTTTAGGGTTCGAACCCTACTTTAGTGCTTAGATATATGAGTTGCATGTTTAAATTAATTACTTCAACAAAAAAAAAAAAAGAACATAGGATAGTCAGTTTATAAAAATATAAAATTTTTAACATGTATGCCTCATTGCCTCATTTCTTAACATGTATGCCCAATATAATAAAGAAATTTTTAAGTAAATCAAGTGTGCCATATTATTTATAGTCTGTCCAATAAAAATATAATATTTAAATAATATTAAATATAAATTAATTTTGATATTAATGATAGTAGAAAGAGAAAATATAAAAAATTAAAATATATGTACTACAAAATGCATGAACTAAAGTTATAAATGAAAAAAATTGTTGAACTTTTTTAAATTAAAAGATATTTTTGTCATTTTATAAAAAACTTAATTTAATTAGGTCTTTTAAAAAGCCAAAGATATTATCATATATTTCACAATATCAAATTATAATTTATCTATTTTAAAAAGATTTATTTATCATCATCCTTTGTATCTTTTATAAAGAAGGCATGTATATCTTATACATGCCCTTAGGGCAATCATTTTATTATGGATTCAAGGTTAATAGGGTGGTGGTATTCTTGTCGAGACGGCATCAGTTGTCACCTTCCCGGGACACAATTTTTAAAAATTCTCACATAAGATATTTTTTTAATTCATAAATAATGGCACTAAAATTTTTTTATGAATTTTTTACTTTTTATTAAATGTTGATAAATAAAAAATATATCATTAAAATATGCATACTACTCCATCTTAATTAATAAAAAAATTAAATAAAATCAAACATACCAATAAAATTTATTAAATATGTTATTTTATTTTTTAAAACAAAAATATAAGGGAGAATCTCAATACAGGATTAGGGAAGAAATTAACTTCATAAATGGACCATTACATCCTAAAATTTCTTTGCTGGATTTTCAGACTAAATTGAAAATAACGTTAGAGGGAAAATGATTTAATTATCCTTAGTTTAAAAAGAAAAGCAACTTCTATAGAGGACATTCCTCTACTTGATCAAACTCAACTCCGCACACTGCTGATGAACTTTGCAAGTCATCTCTGTCATCAATCAAGGTGGGTTTCTCTTGTCTTCGTCGATCAAGCAAACCCTCCCCCACTTCTCCATGTGGTCAA